TTTGGCTACTAATCAGCCCAAAAACTTGGCTTCGTTCGATTCTCATTTTTATTAAAATACATTTTTCTCTATTTTCTTGTTAACCGTACGTTCTTCAATAAAATAATATTACACTTAAATAAAAAAAAATTCTTATTTTTCATCCACACATTTTCCAATAATGTACCATTTGAAATTACATTTTTCCATAAAAATGGGTCTAATTTAAAAAATCTGCCTTTTCATGTCAAGACAACTAAATAATGTAGCAAATGAATGGATCCAATGAACGAGGAGGGATGATTATATGTATGACTCTTTTGTCTCCACTGTGGTTAAGGCACTATCAGAAAGCAAAAAAGAACAGCATCCCATTAGCATCTCCTTTTGATTTTTAGCATCCGAGAAGGAAAATATGAGTTGGAAAGAGAAAATTTGGGCTCCTCTAACTACCTAAATATGAAATATCCACATGTTTTATTTTTTTCCATATCAAATTAATATACACATTCATATAATATAAGAAATTAATTTACAAGATGAATGCTGTGTGAATATGTTAGACTCAACAGTGTTGAATATAATAGAAAAGAAGCGTATAAAATGTCAGTTTGTTAATTTGCATTGTCCCAAACACCAAATATGTTATGAAAACACGCAGATAAATATATGTTGAATCCTATCTAACTCAAAAGAAGTCAATTCTAAGTTCGAGCATTCATTTTACAAACACTACTTTTAAACTTCGCGCCATTGATTTTGTTTACAATTTCGAAATAATGATCATTCAAAGTTTTATGTAAACACATTTTCGCAAAATATTTGTAGTCACGGAATTGAGATTATGTTTGACTTAAGAAAAGTAAGTTTTATTAGTATGAAAGTAACTTTTAGGGTTTGATTTGTAGAATAATTAACTTAAAGCATTAAAAGGCTGTGTAAGTGATGCCATCTTGCGTACGTTCAGCATTAAATCTCAGCTACATCCACAAGAATTCATATCATTCCAACTTTATAATCTTTCTAGGAACCTGTGAACGTGATCAATACCAAAAGATATAATAATAAGGTTAAAAAGCTGATATCAAGGGGATCTATCTTTGTAAACGAACAGTGACAGAAGAACGCTCCTCTATGCCCCTCCAGCCACTACGTTATTTTCTCACGGGCAGAAATAAAAGAATTTTGGCTTTTAGAGGGCGGTACATAGGATTCCCTTTAAAGAGCCCTTCTTTTTTTTTTTTTTTTTTTTTTTTTTTTTTAATGAGATCAAAGGTAGAATATTTATAAAGATCGTACATGTCCTAAAATTCTTTCCAGTTTGGTCACTTTGACTTTATATATAACAATATATTTTCTCTTTTCTTTTTTTGGTGGTGTGTGTCTCCGCTTTTCGGGGGTGGGGTTTGGCGTTTCTTTAGTTTACGTGTAATGATAAATTTAGAATCAATTATGTGTATCGTCATTCTTGTTGTGATGAAAAGGTTTGTATGGTAGTAATAGCATTAAAAATAGGAAATGAACACGATTTTTTATACGATTTTTCCGTGGTGAACAAGTCATGGTCCGAGTCCCACATATAGAAAACTAGATTTTTGTAGCATGATGGTCGGATGAAATTGAGGGATTTTTATTTTTTATTTTTTCTCGTCTCATAGTTGCCGTTTTTAACTTAAAACTACATTTCATTTTTTATCTCTTATTCATAATCTAATCCCAAATCTTATTACAAAATTCAAAAATCTCAATACTGAAATCATCATAGAAATATAAAAACTACTTATGTGACACATTGACACTTTGAAATCTTCATTATCACTCTTTCTATTCACTTTCCCAAGCTATGTAGCTATTATGATTGAACTATAAGTAGTGCACTAATTGATCAACTACCTCCTACCTATCAAACTTTTTCTTGTGGCACTAAATAAAGAGGCATCTCAGTGGGAACCTATTGCAGACAAAATTCAAACAGATTAATCAATTTTATTAATTATACATTCAATGTGATCCTCCTATAACGTCATATCGACTCGTTTCTTAGTATATGACTATTTTATTGCAAAACTTTTCAAGTTTAAAAAAAATAAAAATAAAAGTGTAGTACATGTTAGAAATTCTTGTATATGACTAAAATAAAATGTTACTTCATACGTATATAGTCCTTTTTGACAACTGTTATTTCAAAACTCTTTATTATACATACTTATTTTTAATCACACATTCACACAATAAAGTATTCTGCATGCAAACCTAAATTCATTCTCCAAAAATTCACTATTCAAAACTTTGTTTTTGTCAAATAATGACAATCAAATAAGGGCATAATGATCATATTTATAATTTCTTTTAAAAATCATTTGGTGTAAGTTTCCATTATTGATGTTATTGCCTCCACTCTTTGCCTTATTGATTGTGTCTTGTGTCTTATTATTTGATTAAACTTTGTTCTGATCTAATTATAGGGTGGCTTATGTTTTATTATTATCTATTTTTGGGTGTTAATCACCTGACAAGCCCATAATTTTGTTTAATCAATACTTTTCAGTGTGGAGGATAATATCTTAATTTTGAATATTGATGATATAGAAATTAATTATCTATAAGGATAACGAGACAGAAACAATGAAAAGAAATTTTAGTTTTTATAATGATCTTATTTAGGAGTTGTTTGAGTCCCATTTTTTCCCCCAAAAAAAATACATTTTGAAATAGTGTTATGATGGAGAATTTGTGGTTAAAAAAATAAGGAAATTTTTTGGATTTGCGTGTAATATTATTTTATTAAAAGATGTATAATTGAAATTGTGTCAAATCACTGTTGAAAATGTATTTTGATGAAAAATGGAGCTCAAACAAGGGCTTATACTAATTGCACGAGCACATTTTGTCAAAGCAAACATATAAAATTTTAACATATCCATATTGGACTTGAGACACCATTCCGTCATCTGTCTTATGTTCTTCGTGTAACATTCAGATCGAATGACTCTATGAAATCAAGTCGATACTAAAATCTTTTCATGTCATTAACATGCAAGTCCAATCTTAATGAGTTGGTCCTATTGATCTAATATTATAATTGACGACAAGAAATATATTTCACTTAATTTTAAAAAAAATAAAAATCTTAACCATGTATATTATAGGATACACAATATTTAAATATGTTTAATATTGCCCCATTTGGATTGTGTGGACAACATAGTAGAAGTGTAGAAACCAACTCAATAAAATGATACAATTTGAACAAGACTCTGTCTTTATCAATGTTGATTACCTAAATTATGACAGATTCATCAATCAAATGGTCCTGAGCAGCTGAATTGGACATGTTTTCTTGAGTCTCTTGTGTTTTAAACTAATCATATTTTACTTCTATAACATACTATGCAAGTCAGATGCTTGTATTTGACATGAAATGTAAATCGTTCTTTTTCATCGCTTAATTTGATTCCTGTGAAGGGAAATCTTTCCATTCTCTCCCAATTGATCGGACAAAGGTGCAAATGATTTTCTCCATAGACAAGGTTTTAGTTAAAATCCATGATAGGCAATTTCACCAGAAGAAGAAAAGCTATTAACTCCCTCACAATTTGTTGGACTATAGGTGTGTTCCACAGACAAGATCTACATTCCAAATGAATAATGTTATTCATTATTTGTTGTGATAATCAGTTTAGGTGACAATGGACCCCTTGATGATATCAGAATTAATTATGAATAATATTACGCATTCAAGATACATAGACGACCCAATATGCACGGCATTTATAGAAAAAGCGGGTATATACACCGAACATACATTTATAAATGTGTAAATGAAAGATGGGTCATGTGTTTTCTCATGGCTGGCAAGCTGATTTTTAGATGCCATTCCAAGAAGGTAAAGTTTAATAACTTGAAATAACGAAAAAATCGTCCCAAGCTTGTTACAATTCTCTAGTGCGGTCCACTGGAGAAGCTGTTTAATGGGCAATTATTTTTGCAACAATTAGTATGTAAAAATAATTTCGTATTCAAGTAATTTCTTTCTTGGTACTTTTTAAGGATGAATTTGAAGTACTGGTTAAAATGTCATCCAAGATTACCTCTTTCAATGTTTTTAATTAAATGAAAATCTAGAAAACCTTGAGTGGGAATCTGAAAAATGACTTTATTTGCTTTGCCTTTTTCTATTTATAGGCTTTAAATATGGGATGATGTCGGAAAAGATTTTTATCCAAATATTAATGGGTCGTGTATTAGCAAATGTGTGTTGTAATTATAAGAAATCTCTTGATTGCCTTGGTAAGCTATTGCCACATCAACTAGCTAATCAGACGCAAGCCCCTCCTCGGGCACAACAAGTCTTAACTGTTTTTCGAGGCATCAATCCGTTGACATGTTTAAAGTTTGATCCTACACGTCCAGTCCATATAGAACAACAAAAATGCCCAATAGGAAATGAGATATGTTCACTCATCAGGTCAACGTGCACGCGGACGAGCCATGGGTTTCGGGAATTTCTTGGGGAGTCACCAATAGAACTTGGTTTTCAAATACAAACCAAAGCAAGTATAGCCTTTTTGATGTACTAGACAAAACGGGAATCACTTATCATTATGCTAAAATCTTGTGATGCATTCTACAATACACTTCAATAGTTTACGAAACGTATTCATAATTGCTAATAAGTCACCGCAACGGTGAGTCGGAGGAAGGGTGAATCTCATGCCTGGACATGGTCCCAATTCCCATAATTCATCGATCGAACCCTACCGATAAAAGGTTAGATAGAGGTAAGCAGAGACACTTGTCTTAAATCGAGAACCTGAGGATAATATTCATTGATTTGAATCATCAGTCTTTTATTGCTTGAGGGACCAATTCCTAGTCCCTTCATCTGTGCAAAACCCATCAATTCCTGCCCTGCTTCACAAAATTCCAACTTTTTTTTGAAAGTTATAATAAAACAAATGGCAAAGCTACAAATTCTTCATTGTCATTCACATGGGGGAAGGGAGCAATGAAAAGAGGAAAAATATAAAAATTATATGTTTGATTTCAATAATTTAATTACAACACTCGTAAAGAACAAAAAAAGGCCCCAAAGACCTTTCTATGGTTAGGCTAACCTTAGCCCATTAAGAAAAGAACGAAACATTTTTCATCTCTTTTGGAAAAGAAAAACAAATAAAAAAAACGTAATACAGCCTGCATCCATTGCACGCACGTACAACACTCAAAAAGTTAAAAGAAAAGAGCTTTTTCCCTGCCAAAGAAAAAGCAAAATTCATTTACACATATCTAATACATTGTAAACGCGTACACTCATCACTCAAAAACTCGGGGGAAAAAAAACTCTAATTTTATATGGAGACTGGCCACTCTTATTCTCCCTTTCTTTTTATATACTCTGTACCCTTTTCTTGAATAATAGCAGCTGAAGCAATGATGGCAGCCAAGATAAGGAACTTGATTTGTACGATCCCATGAATCTGTCTTATTTTTATTTTCCAAACTCCATTGATTTATCAAAATCCCTATGGTCCACAATCTCTTCATTTCATTCAATCATCAATGCTGCCCTTGAATTCAATCACTCCTCACTTCATTAGTGTACTCCATCACTCTCCTACTAATAAACAATCTCTTATTGCACCAAAATTATATGTACCAAATCCCTTCCCTAAGGAATCTGCATAGCCTTCATAAAAGAATGGCAATGCCCACTTGAAAAGTTATATATTAAAATCTAGCAAACAGTCCAATCTTCTTGGACATACATTATATATGTATATTACTTCTCTGTATAACTCATGCCAATTTTACCTCACAACCCTCCAAAAAAATATTGACGATTTTACTTTACCCAAACTTGGACCACCATCTTGCTTTAATTAGAGCATCCTTTGTCATCATCCATCCACAAGCCATTATTTAATTTTCTCCTTTTATAAGAAAATGAAGACGAAGAGGATGAGAGTGATGAGTCACTTGACATACTTGTCCGAGGCATGACCAGGAAATGGGGTAGCACTTTTGGTGGTTTCCTTGGCCTATTATTCATAACAATCTGCCTCATCAATCGATAACAACCATTGATCTTGTCCTGCCAAAGAAATTGTTTGGTTAATATTGCACTTAGTTAAACATATACACAACAAAGAGCGAGATTGTATTAGTTTCTTACTATGTGAAGTCCACCACACCATGAGTCAGCATTTTGAGCAGTTACAAAAGAAAAATTTGGCAGATCATTTGCTGCACAAAGTATTGTTGCAGCAGCTATGCATGATGGTCTGTAATCAAGGAAGCTGGCCTCTATTCACAGAAACAGCCAGAAATTTATGACAAAATCTTCATTAATCTCTATCTTTATTATTCCATGTATGATATAGGTCAGAGTGGAAAAAAGTGGGAACTTCAAGATACCTTGAATATTTGACAGAATAATCTCAATGGCCCTTGATGTAATGAACATAGTATAAGTTCCGGTAGGGTCGATCTTGTTTGCGAAAAAATTGAGATAGTTAAATGGAGAAATGGTTCTTAGCCTCCAATCTAATACACGCAGCACAAGCAGCTCCATTCTTTGGATATTTCTTGGCTCAAAAATAATTTTTGCACCTTCAACCTAAATAAAGGAAAATTTGCTCAACGATGGTGATTTCAAATAATTAAGCTTGTCTTGAAATCTATATTGCATGAGAAAATTACCTGGAGATTCAATAGAGGAGGAACCAGAACTTCCTCCATTTTAGCAGCTAATGACAAGCATGCAACGGACAACAATTGCAATGGCCATCCATTCGTTTTCTGCAATTATTCCAAAGTGCATATTTGGCTCGCAAGTTAAATCAAACTGGACAGTATAATAAACTGCATTAATAATGATTAGGTAAATAATAGAAGTGGGTTTTGCATTTCTAGGTTCTTAGCAGATTGAAAGGAGACAAATGGACAGTCCTTATTACAATAGCATGCTTAAAATCAAATGGGAATCTTATCGTCATCATTCACGTAATAATTATCTGTAGAATTATATAGTATTATGGAAATTGTCAATTTATTATCTCAATTATTTATTTCACCATAACCATATTCTAGCTTAATAACTAATTAACAAAAGCTAGATAATGGACACGAGGCTCAAGCCTCTTCCCTTTGTTACAAGGAAACACCTTTTATTACATCACATTATTTGTATGACTTTTTGCTCCATAGTACCAACACATCATATTTTATAATGTCCATTTCAAAGGGTAGACAAGAACATGTACCTACCCAAAATTGAAATAGAAAAGCCAAAATGATGAAGTTTGTACTTTGTAATTACAAAACAAGCGCATAATAAAGTGATTAACTAATTAATCTTGCTAGATTAAATTAATGTAGACAGCTTTACACTTTCACAGTACTTACTAGAATACGAGTTATCTAGATTTTTATAATGAAGTCCTTTTCAATGGTCCATGAAAAGTCAATATAATTAATTAAGAAAAAGAATAACGAAAATGAAAAGAAAGGATTCGATGGTAACGGAGGTTTTACCGGCAAACGACGAGAGTGGAGGAAACGATCAAAGTAGTTGACGGAGAGATACGCCGTTAACGGCTGGAAGGCATAGTATTTTTGTACCTGCACACGCAAAACAAAATTTCAATCCTCTCTCTCTCTCTGTCTCCTGTACAAAATGCGCCGAAAAAACCGTTTCACGATTCTCTCTGACCCTCGGCGCATACTAGCACCGCTATCCGTGCTAAATTGCGCCTATGAGATTGTTGGATCGAGAAACTTCGATATTTCCATGTATTGAAATCGTTGTCGGTGATATTATTTTTTGTAATCGAATCGTTGAACGTAATGAGCAACCTGTTCAAGGTAGAAAAATAACTGAAATACCTTAATAATCCATGCAACATATTCTGCTCTAGTAGATGCATCGAGGTACTGAGTAGTTGAATGGAAGTTCTCGACGAAATCTCGCTCGTCTTCAATAAGACCGGCGATGGATTCTTCGATGTCCTGCGACTGAGAATCCAGGTCTGATGAGCATTCTACCGAAACTTCTCCGAAGATACTATTTGAGTCCTCCCCGCAGAGAAGGTCGGAGAGGCAGTCGGAGTAGGAGATTGACATGGTGAATATGTGATCACCGGTAGCTCATTCATCTCTAATCATTTTCATTGTTTTTCTGGGTTTACGAATTCGCCGGAGAATATGCCGGAATAATGACGCGGAGAAGAGTGTGGGAGTGTGAGAGGGAGAGGGAGTGTAGGTTTTCTTCTTGTGTGCTTTGTGTAGATTTGTCTATCTGTTTTCTCTTGTATATATAAATAGCTAACTTGCCTGTTTCTTAGCTTTATAAGTTAGTGAATATGTACTAATTATTAGTGTTTTACTTAAATTTAAATGAATAATCATTTTAACTCGATTTGAAAAATTATTGACATTAGGTTTATTGTACTTAAAAACGTTATAGTACTTCAAAAATTAGCAAACATGGCGAAAGAGATCAACGCTTAAATCATAGAGTTGACCGTATCTCATATCACATACAAAGAGACTTAAAAAGGTCAAAAAATGTTCGGGTGAATAAATAACTACATAGTTCAATAGTTTGGAAAGACCAATATAGTCTAGAAGGCAATTAGCTCGACATGGTACATTCCTTACTTGAGTAGGGAATATCATAGATGCAAGATCATATAGTACACACCTCGAGTTTTACGGATACAATTATTTGTAAGACAACGTCTATCTCAAATTCTAAGGATGAATCTATAGAAATTAGTTATCTCAAATTCAATCTATAGAAATTAGTTTTCTCTCCTTTATATAAATTCTCGCATGGTACAACAATATCTATGTTAGGTTTATTGTACTCGAAAATGCCGCGATACTTCAAAATTAACAAACACGACGAAAGAGACCAAAGTTGAATTCACCGAATTGACAAAATTCAACATCACATGCAAAAGACTTAGAGCGATTAAAAATGCTCGAATAAGAAATAACTGCACAAGTCAATAGCTTTGAAAGACCAGTCTAGTCTAGTCTAGTCTACCCTAGAAGGCAATTAGCTAGACATAGCACATTCCACACGCGAACATGCAAGACCATATAGCATACACATCAAGTTTCAAAGATATAAATATTCGTAATACAATACATGTCTCAAGTTCTGAGGATAGGCTTCTCACCTTAATATAAACTCTTGTCCGCTCCTTTCCAAGTGACTTCTTCCATTCTACAAAAAAATAGATGTAAACCACATCTAAACTAGTGTAGTAAACACCAACTCGAAGTGAAATTGATCACTCTAGATTTTATATAAATTTATTGAAAAGTGAACACTAATATCTTATTATTCGATAAATTAAACAACTATAATTAGAATACTGTAAATCACAATATTCAAATTTAATTTCGTTACGATTTTGCTATGTGTATCATAATCAAATTTAAATCAATTATCAATTGTATTATATGGGCAAATCCAAATTCTACAATATTAATACATTTGTTAATTAAGAATTCAATATAAAATAATTTAAATTTCTCGTAAAGATTTGGCAATTTTTGGACTGTATGTGTACCCAATAACGAAGAAAAACGGCAACTCATTAATTTGTTTTAAATAATATGTTTCCTCGTTTTTTTATTGTTATAATAAGAGCAAATAGCTACCCTCCACGTATTTGCCATTATTTAGCGTCCAGACATTTCATTTATGATATCTACATTTTTTAGTTAAGTTCATCTTTCATATCTGTTTTCAAAAATTTACTTTTCTTCGGACTCATTCTCAATCACATATTTTATGAGATTTATGATTTTTATCTACTTTTCAAAAAAATATTTTATCAATTTTTATCAAAATCTACTGAAAATTTAAATTTTTACTAAGTAAAATAATAATTAAATAGTTTTAAACTCAAGATTTCATAGGGGGAAAAAAAATATACAAGATATATATCACATTTCTCATCTCGATCTTTAATGACACTTCAAGTTTGAGGATTTCGCCTAATTTGAATTTTAGTTTTTTGGCATTGAATTGATTCTACGCTTGCCCTTCCCACCAACAAATTAAACTTGAATATCCAAAGAAAATATTTTTGTACCCAAAAATTGCGAAGGAGAATTGCCTTCTTGTCTAGGGACATTTTGTTGTTTCTAGAATATAAAATCCTCATTCGAACAATCTGAATAAACTACATCGGCATAATTACCACAATGTAATTTGAACAGCATAACAAGATGATCAACATTATCAGAATATCAATTCGAGTCTACCGACTTTACGATATTTCCTTAAATGAATATGTTACTAAGGTGTTAAAGGCATTCAATAATCATCTTTCAAGATAGAACGAATTATCTTTAACAATAATATAAGCAAAATATTTAATTTAATTTATTTTTAATTATGACATTGTCATCATCAACCGAATGATTGATATATATGATGTATATAGTGAGCAATCGTTCAATATAATATAATTAATAAATCTATTTTCAGCACATATACAAATATACGTGTTCGTTATTTTCAAAATTCATATATATAAATATTAGTTAATATTGGTTTGACTTCATGAAATATATAATGCATACTCTCTGAAAATATAACAATATATGAGTCATAAAAATAACTTAGCATAAATATATCAATAAGTTTCATGAAAAATAGAAAATAGCCAGAAATAACTTTGTCTGCCTATTAAATTCTTTGAATAAAATTTACTAGTTTCTCCAAAAAAACATAGTTCTATATCTAAATTAATGGTAACAACTAATAATTTTTATTTTATTTAAATACGTGCCATATAAAGTTACTACAAAAATTTGGTGATGCAAGTCAACAATTCAAATTATTTGTAATAACTAATAGCCGTATCTTTCTTATTAACATCTTCTTTTAGTTAATGAATTTATAATTATAAAATTTTATTGATAATGCATTTTTTATATTTAAATTATGTATACATAATATATAATCAATTTAAAAAATTTTAAATCTTTTATTAGCAAATTCCTCAACATTTGATTTTTTATTTTTTTTTATTTTTTATTTATTTATTTATTTTTTATTTTTTTGCGGGTAGTATACATATGCAATCATCCAAATAGTTGTGCGTCTGCAAAGTATTTAAGTGTTAGCTTATTAATAATTAACCGAACAAATTAAAATGTAACAAATAAAAAAAATCAATATTTTGTTCACAAAGGCATTTTATGTATTTCGACCTCACTTAAATGGCATATTACTTGAAAGGGGGTCAGATGTGAATAGTAGTCGAGATTATTGTAGTTTTTCAAAGGGAAAATTGCAACAGAGGCCCCTAATCTTTTCATTTTTTGCAGACTTTACTCCAACCTTCATTTTGTATCAGTGAAGGTTTCTAACATTTAATAAATATGCTCCTGAGGTCCATCTAGACAAAAATCGTCTAAAACATTGTTAGTTGATCGGAAAAATTAAGAAATCAACATCCAATAAAACTGTTCAAAACACCGATAAAAAACAACGTACAAAAAGGTATCAACATCTAATAAAATTGTTGCGGTAGCAGATAGTTTAAGGATTTTTTCATGTCAACTAACTGTATTTTGAACGGTTTCCGTCCAGATGGACCTTAAGTGCATATTTATGAAAGGTAAGAAACATTTACTGGCAAAATGAGTTTTAGGAACGAAAAGGTTAGGAACAGCTACTGTAATTCCCCCTTTTTCAAATGGGATGAACGTACCTATTATTTGCCAAATACCTTGAAGGAGGTCTATGATATATTTACTCTTAAAATAAAGAGTTAATTTATAATTTCACAGCTTTTCAAACAATTCTTCAAAAATAAATGCCAAATAAAGAGAGAAGCAAAATTAAAAAAGAAAGAAGAATGCTTAATCATAATTACTTATGGAAAAAAAAATCAAAATAAGAATGAAATATACAATATCGTTGGAATTGTTAAAAACATTCAATCTTTATTTCAAAATATTAATTAAGACCTACTTTATTGAATTAAAGAGTATTATTGGAGACGTTACGAGGCCTTGCTTTTGACTTCTCTATTGTGACATTGTCTTCTTTATATTTCTAGTTTTTTTATTGTTAGGGGGTGAGGGGATAATTTTCTTAGAATTTTGTTTATTATTATTAAATTATCTCTTAATTTTTAAATTAAGTTGACATCTATACATATATTGGGTAAGTGTCTATAAACCGTTTATAAATGGTTAAGAAATGGACAAATTAATTTTACCAAAATTTTAAGAAACCATCTACAACTCATTTCTATTCATTTATAAACACCTCTCAAACAAAAACTAAGTAAGATCAGTGACATGAATTTTTTCATCTTAAAATATCTTTAATATGAAAAAATGTCCATATTTGATAAATTCATCTGAGCTAATACATGTAGGAAACATAAGTCTGTCGAGACTCGAACATAACATTGATTGGCCAACATACGCCTTAGCAATGGTATCCCAATTAATTCGTCGAGTATACTTGTTAAAATAAGTCTTATAACATAATATAAAGGATGAAATTGCATGGTGTTTGAATAAGAAAATAGTGATCTCTATATAAAGTTTGAAGTACTTCTCTTAACAGTATTGACCTTCTAAGAACGAAATGTTTGTGCGTTTTATCGAAAAGATGAAAAAACCTAATTCAAATGTATGTAAAATAGCTAATGTTCAATTGAAAAATAAACATGATATATTTGCTTGTATTTAAGGTGAATGCCAACAATTCACAGGAACACTTTAAGATCTTAATAAGATGAGGTAGAGTAAAAAGATAGCTCAAAACTTATACGACATCAAAGTTTAAATAAACAATATAATTTGTCTATAACTTAAATGAGTACTTAGATCTTAACACTAATATTTCCAAACAAGTCGTCATCTTTAAGATTGACGTTTGAAAATATGGAGATTATTAATTTATTGTACAAAATTAATTGAAGAGGGTTTATTAAATGACATTACGTGGAATGGTTCAATAATATTACAAGTAACATGAATAAGTGAGGTCCAAGTGGCACAACATGAATCAAACAATTACATGAGTCTTGGATTATACTAGGTTGAGGGTGGTATATCTCAACCGTTGGATGTGATCAATGATTTCTACAACAATCTGAATAGTTCGATAACTTTTAGCATTCTTTTCATGAATATTAATGAAATTTGGATTAGCGTCCAATTGAAAATAGTTTAACTCCTGCCAAAAATATTGGGGAAAACCACGAGCCATTGCTCACGGGACAAGCCCTCGAGCCGCTCGCGAGCTTGTGATTTTTTTAATTTTTTTTT